AGATGGAACTGTGTGAATTGTCAGGCAGATAATCATTATTTCAGAAATTAATGTTCCAATTTGTTTCTATTTACGACAGATTAAACCGCTAATAACCAAAATACTGACTCGATATGGTGAGTGTCAGTTTATTGTCCAATTTCCCTTAACATGGGTTATGTATTCACTTTATATGAGCATATTAGTACATTATCCATGACATAGGTTCTTCGGATACCTAGTACGGGCACTGGTTCTCCACAAATTTACATACATATTGGGTATTATTAAGTCGACGACTAGGCACTAGGTATAGTTTATTTCGAATTTACTATATTTAGTACCACAATAGGGCTTGTATTTATACTTGGATAGTTGTGTCTAAAGGTATATAGTTGTGCCTTTAGACACAACTATATTATAATAAAAGTAAATTACAGATATGTTAGGTTATGTATAATAGTGTAAAAGTGTTAAAAATGAAGAGCACAAGAAAATGAGTGTGTCTGCTGAAGAAGTTTTTTTATATTTTTTATTTTCCCGCGCAAAACGTATTGCACCACAGATGCACAATATTGCACGGCCGCCGTATGATGACGAGAGGGTCATATAGCTGTATACGATGTAATACTAGTATGAGTATTAACAACTAGGTTTTAGTAGGATATACTATAGTATTTTTTCTCTATTTTAATGCGGTTCAACTGATGTTAAGTGATTTTATGTTGCAAATGAGAAATTGCAGGTGTGTTTCTAGAAAGTACAATTCTTGCATTTTCTTTTCTCTTACATTCAGCGAAAAAACGAATTATGGAAATAAATTGAAATAATGAAAAATTGTATATTAGTAGATGTGAAATAAAAATTTCCAAACGCTTCACAATAATCTTCACTAATTTTGGTACATACCACACTGTTTAACCATAAATATGTTTGTGAGCCAAAACTTAAATATATTTTTTATTTAACGAGAAAACTTGTTAAGAAGTTGTTCGTTTTCATGGTTTCTGGTGGCGGGAGCCAATAACAAATGTTCATCTTCCGTTCAATCCAATTCGCTGTCGTTCGATCAAAGTCGCGTCCTTTAAGGAAAACGGATTATGACGTTATTGTATTTTTATTTTCATCGGATGAAAACAAATTCCGGGAAATGAAATTCATATTAAAATTATCTACATCTTATATATAAAATTCTCGTGTCACAATGTTAGTTATCATACTCTTCCCAAATGGCTTGATCGATTTTCATGAAATTTTGTATGCATATTCAGTAGCTCTGAGAATTTTTCATACCCCTAAGTGGTAAGGGATGTCCACACCCCTAAATATATATTTTTTATTTTTTTGACATAATATTTAATTTTCATTTTAAGTATTATTAGGATTGAAAAATACATATAACCCTAAATTTTCAACCTTTTAGCATCAATCCCTATTTTTTTTATAGCGTTATTAATTTACATATATGGCAAAACAACTTTTGCCGGAACAGTTAGTCGTATTACAAAAATGTATCTTATAGCTGTCTGTAAATAGAAGTTATGACAAAATGTTCGAATGCTTTGTAAGCTGTATTTCGGTAGTAGGATCTATGACCAGTACGATCGTTTATAAGTAAATAATGAAATTAATTTGTATTATTTTATTCTACATAAAAAAAAGTTATTAGGAATAGGTTACATGTTCAAAACATATTGCTTTTATAATCAAAGAGTTGCACAGAACACTTAATCAGTGAGTGTTGCCAACTGCCGTATCGTGTTTTACAATATTATTTATTGAGCGTATACAATGTAGATTAGCCAGTAGTAGTACTTTCAGTACTGAATAAGTCGCATAATGACGCACGAATGACACATGATAACGTGATGCCCATCGTTACTGGCAGCTTGTCTACCATTCTTTTTATAAACTTTATATTTTTTGTATCTATTTTTTATACATCACTTTTGACTAACTAATATTGCTTTGTTACATTCTCGCTGTGAGCCCTTTTGGGAAGAATACACATTTTTTACTAGTATTTGGTTTTTATTAAAATAGTAGTTGTGTTCCCGCTCGCAGTAACACCCATAATGGTGTTTAAGTGTGTCATAATGGGTCAGGATTAGCACATACCATGAGGTGGCCCGTCTAATTGTTTGCCACTCGAATTACATAAAACAATATTTTCTGTACCTGTAATAAATAAGTTTACGTTAACATTACTGTATTGTAGTAAATTAGACATATAATATATATAATTTATTTAAAAGTTATGTCATTCTGAATACCACTGCTATGAAATCGCGGGTTCAGCAAAAATCCTAATAAAGTATTTAGCTGTTTCGTATGAACTGACTGAATTTCATTTGAAGAGAAATGCGAAACAAAGCGTTTCTACATTGCAATTCTTTCATTTGTCAGTATAATAGAACTAGTCGAGGTTAGTTCTATAGCAGTTATTTTAAAATTGTACAGCTTGAATTGTCGTGTTCTATTTTCAAATATTCAAATAATTTCTACTCGGAAATTATTTTAATATTTCTGAGTAGAAATTATTTGAAAATAGAACACTATTTTGGTTTCAAATTTTGTGTTTGGGTATTTCATATCATTGCATGAATAAAGCATATTTGTCCTAAATTTAAATCTATTATTTACTATTACATAATAACAATAATTACTATAGTTTCTAGAGACAATAGTTTGTTTCTTCTCTTTTATTACAGTTAGTTATGCTGCAGTTAGCTATGCTTTTCGGGATTCTTTACAAAAAATGTCAACATATTACTATTTCTAGTCGACATTATGTCAACATATTTATTTACTCATACACATCTGCTTATGTACCTACATCCCTAAAAAATCAATACCCATCTTCTACAGTGAGGTAAAAAATGTATGCAAGTGTAAATTAAGTTGATTAATCAAAAACATACTAGCAATAACTCACAATAACTTACTAACACTTCCTGTATAGCCTATATCACTCGCTGATACCGCTACTATAATTGTGCAAGATTATCTGAAATCCCTCAAAGTATTTTATAAGTTATATTATATACATTACAAAAAACCTGCAAATATTAAATCTGTACTGCTTATAATATTAACTTATTTTATGCGTTTCTACATACTTCAGTAATAGTAATAATCCAGGACAAATAAAAGTCCAAGACAATCAGAACTTGTGTTATAAGTAAGTACTATACAACTGAATGTTTTTTATTTATAAATCTTACTAATATCAAAGATGTGATAGTTTGTAAGTATGGATAGATGTTTGTTACTCTTTCGCGCTACTGTAACTACGCTAGAAAGGATTTTGATGAACCTGCACAGTAATATAGCTTATAATTTTGCTTATTTATACATCAATATAATATATAGGCTATAAATTCCACCGGGTGAAACAACGGGCACAGCTAGTACATTCATAAAATACATTGAAAACACTCAGACCAATACAAACATTCATACTAATGAATACAAATGTTTGTATGTGTGTGAGGAATTGAACCAGCGACCGTCAGAAATAAAGCGTAATATTAGTTACGTATTTCATTTGAATAATCTATTCGTGTCAATATCTTTACGTTTGAACCCTATGAGGAGGCTGGATAGCTGTATAATGTAAGCTTCAATACCTTATTTTGTCACAAACTTGACAGCCGATATATTGGTATTTATTTTATTCATCACCTTCCGTCAGATAACCAGTCAACTTTTGCGTCGTTTAAAAGAAATACATATATCGATGATATTTTCCGGTATTTTCTGAAAATAATAAATATTGAGATAGAAAAACAAGAGGCAGATCGACAGAAAAATGTAACAGAGGTGTAGTCGTTTATAAGATATTACATTTTCACGACTGCTATGTTATGGTGTAAGCAGAGGCAATTTCAAACGTTAATCACCTGGCGTATGAAACACTTGTCATGCTTATAATCACAAAAGAAAGAGGTAGATATTTTGTTCTATGCTCACAATGATTGAATTCACCGTAGTAGGGGGTGAGTCCACGGTATTATCTTAGATTAACGTGGTAGGTTACGAGTGTTTCCATCACCGGAAAATTATTAACAAATATAAATTAACGCAAAAGTTTCTTAAAGTCAGATTCGAACTCACGACTTTTGTGTTCTAATTCAACGTAGTGAAAACGGAGAGGTAACGACTTTTCGAAGATATGGTATACTAAAAATGTCACATACAGTCATAACCGTACTGAATATGGAAGGCCATACTCTCCCAAGACATTTGTAATGTATGTGCAGTTCATTTCATATCTCGCAATACGAATATTACATACAATATTTCTTTTTTATATCAGCTCATGCTTTTCTGTGCCAAAAATAATTCTATTTCGCCATAATCAGAAGGGTAACTTTGAATCGAATCAGGTCAAATCGAATAAATGTAACAGATGATATTTCAAATCGATAACATTCATTTTTTATGCCATTATTATAGGTTTCATTTACAGATATTTAACTTATTTACATCTACTGTAAAACCTCTTTAACATTTTTATTTTTATTGCCATATATTCTATTTTAAATTTGGAATGTTCGATTCGACATGTTAAGGCCTGAAGAAAAAAAATTACATATTCTCTCTAGCTTTTCTTTCAATTAGAAGGAAAGTCATAAAATATAAAGTGTAACAGTTAAAAGGGATTTGTAGCTAGATACTTTATTACGTATTTTATAAACTTTAGTTCATATTCAAAATGTAGACCATTTTGAATTTTCCCATTTTTACAGAAAGGTCAGTGAGAAACGCCTGGAGTAGTATTTGGGGCAGGACTATGGGTCGTATTGTGTATAAACAAATTTAAAGGAGAATATTCAATGTAAATGACAACATTTATATATGATATTTATATTTTATATAAACAGAAACAACCGTACAAAACGTTTCCGTAACGCGAGCAAAAAATATTACAAAATGTCAATAATTTGTTACTAAGTGTTTTACACATAAATACTTCAAGTAAAAAAATATTTTATTTTTACATAAATTTTATTATGTTATTTATTGTTACATAAATAGAAATGGTCATACGAGTAAATAATTTGCATACATATTTACGGTAACATAAACTTCACTCGTGTGTAGTAAATGAAAAATCTCTGTTACTCCAGATTTTGGACGACGTTTCCGTCCTGGCTGGAGATGTTATCCAAAATCCAATCTTTGAAAGCGAATACTCTGGTATACACGTCAGGGTAGCCCCGGGCACACGGCATGCCCCACGATACGATGCCTACAATTCTACCATCTTCAACGAGAGGACCGCCTGAATCACCCTGAAAGTAAAACTAGATGTAAAGGCGTGTTAAATATTGAAATATCATAATAGTATATTACGATATAAATCCGTTACATTGATTATGATATAACACACGAGGCTGAATTTCACTCTGAGCTGAAGGCGAGTGCGTTATAGAATCGAGTGTGTTAAATATGTACGTATATTGTGCGACGTTTTTCAATTTGATTTGAAATAAACTCAACCATAAAACTGCAATGCACACTGTTGCTTTCCCGCCATTTTACTTTTTTAATTCAGCGCTCTGCCTACTGGCTAGTACCGTACGGCCGCGGCGCGGCGTGGCCGTCAGTTCGAAATTTGAAAAACAGCAAATAGTGGGGTTGGTTTTTTTCTCTTCTTTTGAAATAGTAGGGTTATGGAACAACTTTCCTATTTGCTTTTATTAAGCATGCGTTTTTTATGAGCAAGTGTGTTGAAAAATATATATTTTTAGCAAAGTAACATGAGGTTTTTCTTGTCTGTATTATAGGGGTATTTTACTGAATATTACTATCTACATGTATTTTGTGCGTTAATTAAGGATATGGTTAGAAGAGTGAGTATACACCTACGTGCTACTTTCGTGTGGGAATTATGATAACAAGGGCACCACAACATTTAGGGAGGTAGTTAGGGGTCATGCTACAATGCAAGCACGATTCCATAACTCTGCCAAATGGCGCTTTAATGTGTAGGAGTGCACGTGGTTATTAGTGGGTAGAAATTGTACATAGCCCACTCTACTTACCCTTTGGAAGATTTATTATTTATTATAAGAAGTCTTGGTGAACATTAAAATGACCAAAAATATATATAATCTGTGTGCTAACATTTATATTTTTCTGTTGTATATCGCTTTGAGTTATGTTATTCAAATGTCATTAGATATTCATAGATAAGTTTCGTTATCGATTACAGTATTAGAAAGACTATTTGGACAAACTAATTTTGTTTGTAGTCTGTGCTTTTTTATGTAGTAGTAGGTTATATTATACACCTAAACCTGTAAATTACTCTATTGATAAATAAGGATTTTATCACAATCTTTTTGAAAAAAGTATTTTTTTAGATTATCGCGCTCATACAGACAGATGGAGCGAGTGAAACAGACATGCAAAATGTCAATGACATTACATGAAATAGCAACGTTCGAGCCCAACTGTACGTAATGTACATTTTTTATCCAATTACTTACATGACAGGCACCTTCCCCGGATTTCGTGAGCGAACATATTTGCGTTTCGTACACTGGGTTGATTTTATTCATTAGACTCTGGCAGCGCTCTGTGCTCAACGCTGTTAGGTTAATCATCTGCAGTTGGTTGGGGAGGAATCCTGGATACTGGAAATTATAAAAAGATTCCTTTGTTACCTGCAACATTATCTGCTTTAAAAAAAAGTTTAGTCTATATTCGCTCTGGTGGAAATTTTTCATTGTTTTCAATAAATTCCGTTGAGCCGTTTATTTACAAACAAGAAAGGCTACAAACAAGCCAAGACAGATATACACACTTTCATTTACAATATTTGTATGGAAGTATGGATATTTTAACATATGCGAATGAGAAGAGTTTTAAAAACGAATGGCGAAATAGTTGTGTGTAAGGACTCAAGTCAATGAGTCAGTATTTCATCTGCCTACTCTGTGAGGTAAATGGCGTAATGACAGATAGATAAAATAAGTATAAAATGTACGAGTACCTATATATGAAATATAAGAATCCAATTCATATTTTTTGCTCATAATGTAGCTTAGGTACTGTATGTGTGATTATTTTATACTATTATTATGTAATATTATGTTATCTGTGCTATTATGGTGGTAAACAAGCATACGGCACACCTGATGGTAAATGGTTACCGTAGCCTATGGATGCATCAATTTGAATTGTTTCAGTTTATTCATTACAAACAAAAAAGAGGACTACTTCTGATACTTTTTTAAAATATACCTATGTTTTTATGAAAAAAAGCTATAATATAGAGAATCAACGAATTTTGCGGTAAATCTTATGGTAACTGATTACCGCCGCGGATGAGCACCCGTAACATCAGGGGAATTGCCTCTGAGTTGCCGGATTTTAAAAAGGACTAATTCCTTCTTAATATCTCTTGCCTTGACGGTTTACAAATTTATTACAAAGACGAAAAGTTTGATAAATTTATACCGACACCTATTAATTATTTACTCATTCTTTTAAAAGAATTTAAATACTGAAGTTTGTTGCACTGCAGAAAACCCCAGACTATTAAAAACTACGAATAATATAAAAATAATAAACAAATTCTATTCGAACAGACAATTTGAACAAAGAGATTGTTTGTAGAAAAACCGAGCTTAATCCTTAAAGACTTTAATACAAGTTGTCTCAGAATGACAACCAACTATTTTACCAACAAATATTGGCAAAAATAGTTGAACGATGTGTACAAGATAAAATAATAGTTAAACCAACACTGAAATACTTTACACACAACTACATAAACATTTGGACGATACATTAACCTTTATCAACCTAAAAGACTTGAATTCAATGGAAATAACCTTAGAATTATATGTAAATTCACCATTTCTTCTATTGGTATATATTTCTTTTAAAAAATTTCACCTAATTGTAAGTAATTACTGCCGCATATGCAACCTGCAACACCAAGGGAAATGCAAGTGCGTTGTCGGCCTTTTAAAAAGGAATAAACTCTTTTCTTGATAGTTTCTACATCGTATTATTTTTTTCTGTACTTTCATTATGCTGTGTCTCTAATTGATGAATTTATCTATCTCTCATATAAGTATAAATTCTTATTAAAAACATAGAGAATGAGTTCAATATTACCTACGATATGAGTATACTTTCTCAAATGAAATGACAGGGTTGGCATTATCCTATCCTATATTATTGCGATTCTAGAATTCAAAATGATGATTTGACAGTTGGAAATGTAAATTAACTGTTTGTTGTCATCTAGATGCGAACTCGTGGCCTTTGTGGTATATAAATCGTGGGAGCACACTACTAGACACCGATGCTCTCTCATAAAATTTATCTTTTTATACTACCATGGTGTCAAACAAGCATACGGCCCTAATCTGATGGTAAATGGACGCCTGAGACACAAGGGGTGTTATGTGCGCGTTACCGACCTTTATATATTTAGGTATATAATAATATCTGGGATGAATACCAAAAAGAAACGATAATCTTAGTCTTTGAAGTCGGTTAAAACTAGTAGTTTAAATATTCGTTTACTTTGTTTTTTACTGTGGAATCTCGTCTGAGCGATATTAGCTTAATCTTAAAGGCAATAAAACTGCACAGTCGTAAAAATAAACTCGAATGAGAATTACTAACGAATTAAATTTCGTTCACAGCAATACCTGGATAAATTCTCGCATAGAACAAAGAAATTAGTTAGAGGATTTCTCTATTTTTATATCCTTAATAAACGTCGCTTTCTCCAACCTTCTCTGTACTTTTAACAACAATAGGATATTTTTTATTATTATAATAAACAATAGATGAAACTTTTATTCATTTCTAGAGTTACTATTTAGTTTACTGTTTAATTTTGAACTATAGATTAACTACAATGAATCTAATTATTCATATTTTTAAACGGAATTTATATGTATTTTGAGATTTTAATTTTGAAACAAACAAATAAAAACTATCGACAAAAAAGTTTGCTCATTAGACAATTTTGTAAGTAAAATTGTTAAATGCAAGTCGCGAGATTATTATTATTTATTTATTTTTGTGTACAATGTTGATCGCGAAACTATAATTATTTATTTATCTTTTTTCTATGTAATTCGAATAATAAAGAAGCTGGCGAGGCACCTGATGGTAAATGGTAATCGTCGCCGATACATGAATAGCATTACGGTTACCACATTATCATGTGATGCCTGTAATACCGCTCATGCGTTGCCATTCTGAAGGATTAAGATATAATACTACTTCTCCTATAATTTCACTGCCTTACCTCACTCTTCAACCGAAACAGCAGCAAGGTACTGAAACAGTAGCTAAAATAGGCGAGATTGAGGTAACCACTCAGGCATTTTATAGTGGAAGGAGATTGTTAGTAATATGGATTAATAACCCCAGTGCTAGCAATATACCAAGTCAGGTTGACCTCCACACGGAGCCTCCCGGAAACTATAACGATAAATACTTGGTGAATTTCTCACGATGGGCCAACTGACCTGACCTCATACTCATCTTGTCATCCTCCACTGGTGTCCCGCCAGCGTAAACCGTTAGCGCAGGCGGGTGTACCATTTTATTTTCATAAAAAAAACTTTTTATAGTTTACCTCTGGTAAATACGTTACTAATATGCAATTTGTGTTCTTACCGATAGTCTTCCCCAGCCACTCAACAGTAGACTGGCGCCAGCATCAGTATCATGATCGGGCAGCGCTATAGGCTTGATTTTATCAGTGAATTCAATACTTTCAGTGACTTTAATGAGACTGACGTCATTGGTGATGAGATAACTGTCGTAATCCTGGTGAATAATGATGGAGTCGACCGAGTATCTATCTCCCCCAGTTTTGAGGCTGTTTGTGCCGACGACAACTTGCATCGATCTGCTCGATTGACTGGAATTGAGGATGGGATGTTTACTTAGGTGTTGCTTTCTTCTGTTTACTTCCTATGCTACTTTAGAAGCCAATTACAATTAAAGATCAATATTTTAATTGAGTTTAGTTTATAGTATTTTCTACAAAATTTATTGTTTGTCTATTGTTTGTTCATTGGTTTTGATTGTTAATATAAAAAAATCTTACTTGTAAATTAATTGGTATGAGTCTGTCTAACTGAAATATAAAATTTTGATTATTGCTCTGTTTACGTCTCTGTTCTGTGTTGCTCATATTAAGTTTATATCTTGGAACATTTTTTTATTGTGTTATTGCTATATTCTAAAATGTATTTAAAGAGTACGTGTTTTTATCATTATAAGAGCCAGCCAGAGGAAAATGAACATATTTCTTTTCTTACATCACTTATTATATATATAACTTACCCAACAGTACAATGAGCAGCTGTCAAAATCCATCTGTCGTTCAGAATAGAGCCCCCACAAAAATGAGAGTTTAGTTTGGATCGCAGTGACGCTTGGTAAGGGATACCACCTTCAGGGGCATCTTGGCCGCCTACTATTCTTGACTCTTGGTATGAAAAGTCGTATGGAGCCAAAATAATCGAACCTTAAAATAGACATTATAATTATAATTGTGTTACTTTGACCAAAGGATGTTAAAGTTATTTTAATTAAATCTTGTGGGTACCACAACTAAAACTAACCAATTCATAGATTTTTTTTCATAGTTATAATGCTCGATCGAAAAAAATGTCGACGAGGTAATAAACGTACAAAATCGTACCAGTATCCACAATATAAAACAGTTCAGTTTCTTGTCCATAAACCTCAGTCAAGTAGCCTTCTGATTGTAACGGTAGAATTATAAAAAAACTAAGAATTATAAAGTAGTGTTTACATCGGCCGATGTGCATTTTAAACTTTTAAATTTTTTATAAGTTTGTATTTAAAATAATAATAATATAAATAATCTAATATTTTATATTTATTTAATGTTACTAGTGTCCATGCCTTTTCTGCTCTCATATAAATAGATCTATTCAATATAACGTATTATATTTAGACCACCTGTCTTCATATTGATTGTAGATATTCATATTTCAGTATAATTAGTACTAATTAAGTTGATTAAAAAATGTTTAAAATTCTATACCACAAAAAAAGATAAGCTGTAATTATAAAAATAATAATAAAAAGTAACTTTAGTATTTAGGGGAGGCACATAGAATCACAGTGGGTTTGTTGATACAGAAGTTTATTCCCACGCGACATATTGGTGACAAAACTTTATAATTACTCTATATTTATAGAAACTAAACTGGGCATTGCATTACATAATGAATTGTTTACATTATTTCTCTTATTCAATGAAAAGGTTTTTAACCGATTGTCAAAAAATAATCTTTTCAATTCCATGTTATATTATTTATGGGCAGAATAACATCGGAACGAAGTAATTTTATTAAGATCTTAATTTTCTAATAGGAATCATAATAAAAAGATGTTTATTATTTATATTACTAACATTCATATGTGTAACTATTTAGTGCCCTAGACCTACATCTAAATAGATCTATTTGTAATTAAAAATACCATGAACCACAAGACTTTGTTTTAAACAAATGCGTCCTAAAACTCACTAATAAAATTTTAAATGATGAATAATATAAATAATAGTTTTCGCGTTCCAAATTCAGTGTGTAATGATTCTTATCAATATTATAAACGCGAAAGTTTGTGATTATGGATGGAAAAATTATGGAAGAAAAGAATTTTGATGAAACTTTACAGTAAAATTGCTTGCTTAAATACCAGAATAAATGCAGATTTAATAAGATATTATACAAATCGTGCGAAATATAATGACAAATGTCAAGTAAGTGTGATATGGACTCAATAGCGCGAGTCAGCTTGTATTATAATCAAATTTAACAAATTTAATGCGGATGAAGCCACAGGCACAAGTTCTTTTATAAAGTGTCTTAAATACGAAATATTACATAAAGGTTCTTACCCCGAACGTGTATAATAAAGGAAGTTATGACAAGCAAAAAAGTGAACGCCATTGTCTCTGCCCTACAGATTGGTTTCCAAAAGACAACTAATTGTACTGGCAAATTTGATCCTTTTATATCACAATATTGTATTATAGTTGCAACCTCTTAAGATAATTATATGTCGATACCGATAAAGTTCACTTCAGACAATTGCTATGAGTTTAAAGACCTTCGGATTCATGTCTAGTGTTAGAACATTATTCCTTCAGCTCGTAAAGAAAGGCAATTGTCTGGTACTGGTATTGTTTTACCGAGTGTACTGTCAAATTTTAAATTATCTGTTAAGGCGATGGTCAAACTGGATCTAATTAATCAATTTTAGGGATACCGGTTAAGTCTAAATCAACAGGGAAATGTGTCGAGGAATCAAATCGCACTATATTAGTTTTACTAATGCATGTTTATTGCAATTCTCTTTACTATATATACATGTAGAATTTATAGAAAAAAAAAACAAAATGAGGTCTGAGTACCTTTGTCACATCTACCTCAACCGCCAAACAGCTTTTTTTTTATTTATTTTATAGCTTAACAAATTCAAACCAAACGAGCTTGCGGTACACCCGTAACACCAATGCCGCCCATGAGTACCCGCAACACCAGCAGAGTTGAAGTCCTTTTAACGAGGAATTAGATCATTTCTTGAAAATTTCAATATCGTATCTAACCAATATATTTATCATTGTTGTACTCGTAGAAATTATAAAGAGACAGGATATAGACAGTTCATACCTTCATTTACTTATAGTCCTTACCTTCATTTACTTATACAATCATAGAATCCGTCCCATGGAATTTTATTCTTAGATTTGGGTTTAATAAAGAAATATGTTTTAAATATCAAAAGAAAATCATATTATTTACTCGGACGAAGTCTTAATTCGTACCTAGTGATAATACAATCTCGAGATAATACATTATTATTGAATTTTAATTGTGACTAATTTACTTTGGTACTTATAATGAAGTGCATATGTATCAGTTTTCATTTAAGTGGCTCGGTGACAATGACACACAAACACTAAATGGAACACTGTACTCGTATTTCTATGAAATAGATAGTGAGATTTGTATTTAATCAAATACTAAAATTAGTAATAAAATAATTGGTGAACAAAAGACAATTATTTTATTATCACAAATATAAGATTCAGAAGCGGGAGATATAGGAGAAAGTGGGAGTATGAACAACTTCTATAACTCTCAAAATTTGTAAAATTGTATGAGAACTGCTAATTTAATATTCCTAAATTAGGATTTAGAAAATTAACTGTAATATTAACACATTAAAATCGAATTAAAAATTCTATTGCATAGAAACAAAGAAATATTATTTTTAAATTAAAAAAAAATGATGTTACGACGGGCTCTCTTTGTCGTAATATTTTTTTTTAATTTAAAAATATTATTAACATTATTTTTCAAATTAAGAATACTTTTTAGGATTTATGTAAATGTATATGCAGCATTAGTTGCTTTTATTGCGGGCAGTATTGTATTTGACTTTAGCCTGTGGCATTGAAATGACTAATAAAAAAAAACAATCCATTTACTTCTATTTTTTCAAATATCTAAGTACACTATAAAATACAACTCTCTAAGTATATAATAAACAACATATTTACAGCATGAAATAATGATAACAATAGTTTTTTTTAACGCGCCATATTAACAAGTAAGATTTATGGGCATATGCACATGCCGATAAATCTTGCTCTTCTTTTTTAGAATCATTACAAGTTGTTACATTGATTAAATTTTGGTTCAATTTTCACAAGCGCAGTACCAACTCTTATAAAACGTAGTTTTCATTGCTTTGTTCTCATAATGTTGATGCATTAAACTGTACAGATGCTACAAGCACTGCCGGATATCGTTGAACGGCTGTAGAAGATGAAACAAAAAGTAAAAGAAAATACTTGTTCAAGTATTGAAAATTCCGAGTGGACTTTGCTAAGAGTCTAGACGCGCGGGCGAGCTTGTTTTTATTATAGTCTTGTAACCGTTCTCGGGTCGTTTTTAAAATATATATTATTTTTAACTAACTTTTTATTATTTAGATAATGAAACGAGAGATGTAAATAGTTTTGTCGATTACGGATTAAAATAATAACAAAAAAGAAACGTAATAAACAGTTCAGTAATGGTTCATGTTCGTATGAATAACAAACTTATATACTATATGAATAACTAAAATTATATTTAAACTTTAAGATTTTAGATGTATAGAAACTACTGCTAAATTTATTATACAAATTCTGTTCGGTAGTTAGATAGATGAACGATTTATTTTTATTATTATACTATTGTTAATTTGTATTCGGAAACAAATTTGTGCCACATAGAGCTCCAAATAGAGCGCATCTATTTGCACTCTGCAGTTAGCTCACTGGAGGTACAATTCGATTAGAATTAAACTATGTTTAGAGGTCAAAAGATATTCGACTAGCTGACATGCCGTACCTGAAACTGGATAACTAATATTAAACTAAGTAATCACTATTAAAGACCTTTGGTCTATTGTATGGGGTCTCAATACGCTTAAATTAGCAAAGTTTATAGTCAGCGGTCTGGTCAGTAGGCATGTGACATTCTGTATGAAAATATCGATTAATCATTATTAAATTAATTTTGAGACCATAATAATCGATTGTAGTGTTCACATATATCCTAATCGTCGATATTAAAGGGAATAATTACTTATTTTTCACAATCCTCCAAATTCTTTTAGGTCAGTTCTTGGTATTGAGTAATTTTTGACTATTTGGATTGTAATAAAAAAATATTAATTATTCAATTTTATTTATGTTTTATTAGACAGTAGACATAAAAAATGTCTACACTGGTTTACACTTTAAATTACCCTTTATATATGACTAAAAAGATTTTTCCATAATGTTTTGATTGTGATTTGATTTGATTCGAATTTATTCAATATGTTAGACATTAAATTATTAATAATGGAATATTAAGATAAATTTTAGAAGTTACTTTGTGTTTAAAAATCTTCATTTATATGAAATACTTAGTGTCCTACAAGCTGGCCTACCTGATGGTAAGTGGTAATCGTCACTTATATATGTATATAAACAGCACCACTGGCATAATAGAATGTATTGTAATATCAGTAGTACTTCTGAAGTATTCTATTCTATAGAATAGAAAATCCTATATTCAAATAGACTTAAATTTAAGGACTTTAAAATAATTTAAACTTTAAATTACTTCTTTTAATCTACCGCTCATACGAAAAGATAAGAAGACAAGAAGACCGAAGAATCTTGTGCGTTTAAATAATTGATGTAACTTTACATTTTTAAGATAAAATGTGTGAATACGAACTACCAACTTGCACTAATTTATTAGAGTCAAAATGTTCAATTACCTATTTTTTTTTTCTTAAATAGTACAAAATAAAATGGTGTACCCACCTGCGTTAACCGTTATACGCTATCGGGGCAATAGTGGGGTAATAATAGGGTAAGCATGAAGTTAGGTTAGTCCATCTCTTCGTCCTCGTCCATTCCGGAGGAATTAACACGATCGTTTCTAGAGAGGACCGCATGTCAACCTAATAAAGTAGAATCGATTGTACATTGCTAGAAATGGTCCATTAGTCTCTAAAAAAATCTCTCCAATTTGTCAATTCATCTTTGTAACATTAACAAACTATTTACAAAGTAACTATTTTATAATCAGTGGCTCCAGCTGTAAAATACAAATTACCCGAAAGTTAAATCTTTATAAATCGTAAAATTTAACACCAAGTGCCAAACCTCTAAATTTAACACGGTCACCTACCATATAATATTTTACGATGTGGTGGCTACTAAATTGAATCGACGGTAAGTTGCCGTTCTTCACTTTTGAAGTTAGTTGATTCAATTTGCTGCAGGTATTATATGAACTATGGAGATCTTTGGGGGAGGCCTATGTCCCAAGAAGTGGACGTCTTCCGGGCTGAGATGATGATGATGATGATTATATGAACTGAGTTTGTTTGTTACCATATCATTGACGACGGTCTCGATGGTCTAACGGTTTAGCATAACGCCGTACTTGCGGTGATCGCGGATTCGATTCCTCGTACGGTACAAACATTTGTATTCATGAGTATGATTGTTTGTATCCATCTGGATGTTTTCTATGAATATTATTTATAGAAATCTCGATTCATAAATAGAATCTTAACAATTTCTATATAATTGTGGCGAAATAGACTACGACAAATTTATATCAAAAGAATATTTCTATTTTTAAAAAAAGGATCTATAAAAGAAGTAAGTCCAGCGGGCACAGTAATCGCATACAAATCAGCACCTCATTCCGATCCAGTGGGCAAGAGAGAGGCTGTAATTACATCCAAATAAAATATTCATAGAGCGAGGCGCGGCGTTCATCCTTTCGATGACGGCTCCATGATAAGCGTTTAATAAACGGAAAAAATGTTTCCTTATTTTTTTTATTAAAAATGGCACGATAATTTTGATAATTCTTTTAGCAATAGTATCTTTATCGCTATTAATATTATAAATGCGAAAGTCACTCTGTCTGCCTGTCTAGCTTTCTCGCCGAAACTACTAAACCAATTTAAATGAAAGGAAAGAAACATAGGCTACGTTTTAATGCGAATAAAGGGTTGTAAGCGTGTTGCCGACGGCAACCTTTTTATAAGCATTTTATATATTTTTGAAATGTATATTTTGATGTTGTATTTTTATATAGATACCGTTTGTATTCTAATGTCATATTTCTGGTGTTATTTACGTTTTTGCTAACGAGTTGAATACACATATTTTACCTCACCTAGGAACGTCTCTCATTTTAACCAGCTTAATACAGTCCTTCCGTCACAAAGGGGTTAAAGGGCATCCCCTTGATGAAGAGTTGTATGGAAGTATCGTCAGTTTTAAAGATAGAATCCTGAAACTTATTTTTTTGACTGTTCATTAAATATAAATAAATATGACATTTTACGTTTCTAAAAAAAATACACTTAAGGATTTAAACTATAGGGGATGAAAGTTTGTAAGAAAAATTGTCATTTTTGAAGTTATAACGATTAA